AAGGACATCCCCCAGATTACACAAAGAAACGAGTCGTCGGGTTGGGGGATGGTCAATAAACATGCCCTGAAGAAGGTGATGGATCGCAGTGTTGTTAGAGATAGAGGATCCATCGGGAAACCCATCGTGGATAGCCGCAAAGCCGAACAGTAGTTCCTGATTGTTGAGACGAGGAGGCCAGACCGGAAGAGATGCAAGAAGAACTCTGTTACAAGGGAAGGAGTTGCTTCGGTCGGATTCACAGAATGTTGTCTACACCAGGAGTTAAAATGTCAAATGTGGCTGTCATAGATCTTTCTCGTTGACAGCCATCTACCTCTGGCAGCCAGGGGGGCTGTGACTTGAGAAAGCCCTGCCTGCTGAAAGGATAGTTGGACAATATCCAACACGTTAGGTGTAGGCGAAGAGGATCTAGATGGAGATGGCGAGAGCCGGGTTGGAAAAGCAGGTCGTGGCACTGAGGGAGCAACAGGGCAATGTCGACTAACAGCCTCACAATGCGAGGAAACCATGGCTGTCTCGGCCAGAACGGGGCGATGAGAAGAATTCGGCAATGCTCTTCTGTATCTTCCACAAGACTCTTGGGATCAACAAAATGGGGGAAAAGCGTAGGCAAGGAGACCTTTCCATGAGATGCACAGAGCGTCGGTTGCCCAAGCCTGAGGATGCGGAAATTGAATGCAGAATGTTGGGAGTTGAGCATTCAGATGAGAGGCAAAAAGGTCCATGTGCAGTCTGTCGGTTGCTTGAAAAAGAGCACGGACCACCTCTGGTTGAAGAGTCCATTCTGTTGGGCAAACCTTGTACCAGGAGAGAGCATGGGCCTGATTGTTCTGTAACCCGGAAATGTGCTCGGCAAGCACCAGGACAGAATGACGGATGGACCACTGAAGTAGCTCCCAGACCAGCAAGCAAAGGGTAGACGAGCGAGTGCCCCCTTGACGATTGATGTAGGCAACAGCTGTAGCAGCAGCAGGAGTGGCAGGAAGTGACGTAGAGCATTAAAGATTGCCTGCAGCTCAAGAACATTTATGTGGGAGTCTTGGATGGCTGGTTCCCATTGGCCGGAAATCTGATACAGAGGCAGACTGGCTCCCCACCCGTAGGTCGAAGCGTCTGTATTCAGTACCACTTTATGACCCGGAGGGGCAAAGGGAAGGCCGATGGGGAGATTGGCCTTGGAAGACCACCACGTCAGGAGATGACTAAACAGTAAATCTGAGTGTGGTCTGAAGTGAGACAGGAGATGGACTTGGAAAGGTCTCATGTGAAGTCGGCACCGTGACAAGATCGACTGGCCATGAGACCGAGAAGTTGAAGCCAAGCCCGAGCATTTATTAGTCAACTGACTTGAAATAGGGCAACAATCTTTATCAGATTGAGAACAGCCCCGAGAAACATGGGCATCTGTGACAGAGTTGTCCTTGACTTGTCGTGGTTGATTAGGAATCCGAGAAGAGTTGTATGAGCGCAAACCATCGCGATGGCCAAAATAGCCTCGACTCTTGATCAACCTAGGATTAACCAGTCGTCCAGGTACTGACAGATGAGAATGTCGGAATGATGAAGATAAGCCCCCACCACTTGCACTACTCTTGTGAACACTCTCGATGCGGTAGAAAGCCCGAACGGGAGAGCGCGAAACTCATAAGTTTGATCTCAATACGAGAAGTGCAGAAATCGGCAATCGTCGGGATGAATGGAAACATGAAGGTAAGTATCCTTGAGGACTATGGAGGACGCCCAAGCAGGAATTGGAGATTGAATGAAGAACTGTGTGGAGTGTTTCCATCCGGAATCGCTTGGGACGAATGAATTGGTTGATCGGCCTTAGGTTGAGAATTGGTCTCCATTTTCCCACATCCTTCTTCGGAGTTAGGAAAAAGGTGGACGAGAAACCCCTGCAGGCATGAAGCATGGGAACTGGAACAATAGCTTGTTTCTGCAGTACTTTTGCGATTTCCAACTCCAAAGCCTTGCGTTTGGACTGATTAATGGGGATTTGAGTCAGCCGCAGTACGGTGTTGGAAAGAGGGGCACTCGTGAACTCGAAACGATAACCGTGAAGAAGAGTATCAAGAACCCATCCGTCCAATGTTATTTCCCCCCAGAACCCTGTGAAAGAAGACGGCCGCCAATGGGTTCGAAATTGATGACCGAAGAAGGGGTGGAGTAGTCACTTAGGCCGATCCCCGAAAGACCGCGGCAGGTGACACCACGCTGGGCACTGGAGGAAGCTGAAGCTGAGTAGCGTGTCTGTTCCCAAGCAGGTTGCAAAGGTCAATGAGCATGCCTAGGAGGCCCCAAAGGACAGCGCATTGGAGGAGCGGAACATTGCGGAGGTCTCAGGGAGCTGATCGAGAAACGCGGGGGTGCAAGTCGGACAGCAGACGAAAGGAGATCTCCCGAGCATTATCAATCCGCTTGACCTCAATTTTGAGAAAAGAAGTAAACTGGCCCGCAAAGATGTCTTTATCAAACAGAGGGAGACTCTTGAGGGCAGAATTAACTGACTCGTGGGGAATATTCACAGCCAGAATAGCCGATTCCCAACGGGAGGCCTTAGCACGAAGATACTCTGGCAATCTGCTCAAGCCCTGTAAGCAAGGAATCGTCGAGGCAGTGATAAGCCATGGTTACAAACTCAGGAGAAATATCAAAGCCCTCCTTGCAAGCCCAGGACAAGAATTTGGAGAGGAGGAGGAGCAAGCAGCCATGTCAACATCTCTCAAAGCTGACACCATACGCTGGAGATTCCTGTCTTGAAACATGTTATGAGACTTGCCCCTGTTCCGGATGGGCTCCGGATGCATAGTAACTGGAGGCGGTGGATATCACCGGACACGTTCTGAAATAGATTCAGAAAGGGCACATAGCGTATCTTTGGTCGGGGGGGAGCTAGAGCCTTTCGAAGCATGATGTTTCTTCCTCGGATGTTCTGAAGAATGATATGAGGAAGACGAAACGCCAGATGATTTGCATTTCTTCCCAGTGGAATCTCCTGAGTCAGACCGCTGTGAAGAAAGTTGGCCGGAAGGGGGATCGGGTTTCGGGAAGAGGAAGCAGGTCAGAAATAGCAGGAGGCCGAAAACCCCGACAGCGAAGCGGCCTAAAGGCTCGGGGGAGGGGGCCCAGCAGCAAAATGAGCAGGCAGCGCCCCCATAAGATCCGATCCAGGTGCCGTAACTGAAGGAAAACCCTGGGCAGACCGAGAGCGGAATGAGCCTGCTGATTTCTTAGTCACCTGCACGAGAAGCAAAACACTGTGACTGTCAAGAGGAACGGTCTCAACTACAGTGCCGGAGTAAACAACGTAGTGCTGCACCGTGAATAACTGAGCTGGCCCAGCAACACTCGGCAATGGGTGGATTTAGATACACTCTGAACTAAAGACCGGGCGGATGAACTGAGCAGGCAGAGATGCGGAGTAAGCCTGCAGGCGAGCGGTACGGTGGCAGGGACAACCAACCAATGCCACGACCACTCGTGGAACACTGCAGTATGGCGCTGGCGGACCAGACGGCAAGCCAAGCCGCGGCAGCTTGAAAGCTGATACGGCTGAGTCATCCAATAGCCCTCTCGTGGGCAGACTCCGCCAGGCCCCAGAATTAAGGCCAGTAGGGGGTGCGTGGACAGGCCTAAGACACTCGAAGCTCAAAGACGGCCTGTGGGTGTGCAGCTGATCGACCGGATGTATCACCCCAAACGTGGGGACCAGCCGACAGACTGCTGGGAGTCGCGAAGTAACTGAAAGAGCGAACTCGCAATGCGGGTATTGCACAGTCGTATGCCGAACCGACTGAAAGGAAGGAAATAGTAAAAGTACACACTGTCCTATTTCCTAGGTTAGCAAGGACCGAAACCGCCGCACAACTGTCCTTACCAACCAAGCGATCCCGGGCCCACAAACGGGCAAATGCTGTGCTCGGAGCGAAGTTTAGATGCACAACTCTGAGAATTTCCCTCTCTAGAACTTAATCTAATGCACAAAAAGAGAGAGAAGCACAGCCAAAGAAAAACGCCGAAAAATCTGGCAAATACTAGTTGAAATAAGAACAAAGAAACTCAGAATAACGAGACAACCGCTCTCAAGATATTATGTTTTTAAAGGATTAGCAAACTGTACAAGGAGCCACAACTGTAGGCAAAGCTAATATACAAACAAGAAATAACAAGCAGAATAGACAAACGAAAAACAAATTTATTCTGAATCAAGAAATACATACAAGAACAAACAGCGCCACCTAGACAAAGTCTGAAAGAAGGTTAACAAAAACTAGGTCAAACAAAAAACAGCCTGCCACCTAGCGCAAGGCTGAAAGGAACGGCAAAAATATAAATAAATACAGCGGAAAAGGAACCATCTTACCGTTCACAAGAACGAGAACAGAAAGACAAACAAGGTGATCGAGAAATAACACCAAAACCACAAGTAGCGAAGGAAAAAACATAAACACGTCCGATAGTAATGGTGCCAAGAAAACGAGGAAGAACATGGCGGTCGCATTTGTGGGAGTCGAGAAAATGAGGGCGCACTGCTGGTTATCGAGAATCTAGCGAATGGAAGTAATGAACTAGGAAATAATGCATATGTACTGGTAATCTGCATAGGTTGCAGGCAGTAGACCTACGTTTTAAAAAGATTTTACTGGCCAAAATTTACTCTTCTTTGGTGATTTGTTGTGCAAGTACCTAGCAGTAATCCCTTAATATATGTTTATGAGTTAATCCTAGGTTCACAATTAGAACAGACAAACCAATGCACTGAATCATGCCATCCCTAGAAGATCCCAACAACAGTGCCTCCAGAAAGCGTGAATAATTCTAAATGTAAAAGAGTGCACTTTTCAATGCATTTAACTTGTCCAGTAGTTTTCACACACTGAATAATCATATAACAATGCAGAAATATTTGTGTCTGAGAGAAACTTCTTCCACCTACACTTTAACAACTGACATTTTCCTTCGAATTAAGTAGTTTCTAAAGTTTCACATTTTACCTGATACGAGTAGACATCTGCAATATATCCCCAAAATAGCCTTCCTGATGCATTGAAGATAGCACTAACTGAACCCACTAAAGATAGAAGCCTGTCATCAGAGATGAAGCTCAGTCCATATGCCTGTTTGTAATGAAAGCACCAAAGATGCCCATTAAAATACAATGGAAATCTGAGGTAAATGCATCATACCATTTGCTTGTGTCCACTACAGATATTTAATTGCAGAAATATTTCATAGACTGCACCGTCACTCCTCTTTAAAAAAAAAATAAAACTGTTGCCCAATAGTCACTAAATAATTCAATTTAATAGTTATAAAACAACTTCTTTCATCTACAGGATACATGTACATACAACTGGGCACATTCTATTCGGGTTTCACAATGCATATTGTATTAAAAGGAATCCAAGAATGAATTCAGAAAATGGCAAGATACCTACCTTGTACAGGGTTGAAATGAAAACAATAGTTTGTCCATTTGCTAAGAATGTTGCCCACAAGGTCCAAAATGCACGTGTCTTGACAATCTCCTTAGTTGTCAAATTAAGGCCTGAGCTTTTGTCATCTAATTCCAGAAGAGTAGCTGTGGGCTTAGGAGGTATATCATGACTGCTGTCTTCACCATCACTGCTACATGTATCTGATGCAGCACTGGCAGAGTTGAGATTTTGATGTTCTGGTTTACTAATCAAACATTTCTGGTCTTGGGACTTAAGATTCTGTATAAAATGAAATATACATGATGATGTACTTGGTAGCTAATGAAAGCAATTTTATAGACACAAGTTCTATTTGTGTAGTTCCCATCACATATGGGGTCATTCTATAAATTTGGGATTTAATTTTGTCATGTCTTTGTCACATATAACGTGATTTTGCACATTAGAACACATTCCCTGATTTCCAAGAGTGACAATGTATTGCAAATTACCTGCCAAAGAAATAACAATGGTTTGAAGTCAGTACGAATATTTCCCCATCAAATTCACAGGGACACAAAAAGTCACACCTTTGGACCCCAAATTTATAGAGTGTAGACAATATTCAAGACACAAATTGATACTGTTCTACAGTTTCTTACTCCCAAGCAAAATTGAGAAAAACATATGGAGTCCAGCAAAGCAGTTTTGAATTTGATTTCTTGTTTTCATGGTCAGGCTTCATGTTGTGTTCATAGACATAGCCAGAACTCGGCAGGGGGGAGCACTTATTACAAGGGAAAAAATCCAGGGAGGGGGGAGAACTCATCAGCAATGATCTGACAACCACTGACAGTAGAAGAGGCCAATTTGTCTCCCCATTTCATCCCCTTTCATTCCTTTTGTTTTGATTTCTTTCACTGCTTTTGTTCTTTCTTATCTTCATTTTTATTTTTCAATTTTCTTTTGGGGATGCCCCCACTCAACACTCATGCTGTATTTTAATTGTGTTTTTCAGCTAAAGGAGGGCTGGATGTGAATGAACGGTATCTAAGAAGGGTAGTACCAGTGGTATAACTATGGAATGAGATGGAGGCACGGGGATGTGTGCCTCCCTTACCGTGGATGGAGTTTGGTTTCATATTTAAAATACACTGTTGATTACAAACTTTGCTTTATCTCACAACTAGTGGTACCATTAGAATGAGATTGATCGTCACTAAGATTTTTAACTTTGGATATCAGTATTTTTTCTTATTTGATAAATTTACTGATATCAGCTCAGCCCAAATAAGACGAACTGTTTACACAATTCTTACATTTGAGTCAGGTGGACCAGACATCAACAAACATCCAATAAGCTGCAATAAAGCATAACATCCACCACAGAGAAGAAAGCTAGTAGGCACTCTTTGCAATAACGAGTGTTCCTGAAAGTATCTGACAGAAAAATTAAACATTGACTGATTACTAACAAGTGGTAGTTTAAAGAATGTACGTACATGCTTGACTGCACTGAACTAGTAGGAAAACAGAGTGTAAAAATCACCAAAATGATGCAGCATGCATGCACTGCTAAAAATGTGACATTTGACTGGTTTTTGAAATGTGGATCACAATGAGCAAGAAACAATGGAATATGAACTATAGAATACTTATACAATTTAAACAATTGTTTCGATTTATTGATTACACATACTTGGTTATGCATGTGTTCCATTTTGTTCCATTCCATTTCATTGGCTTATGATTTTGATGTGATTCGAGTGATTTTGTGATATGTTTGACTTCAGAATTCTTGAAAACTAATTTATAATGAACTTTCAAAATTATGTATATCGAAATGATTAGCTCGTTTCTCTACCAAAAAATTCAGCCTGTGTGTGTGTGCATGTGAGTTAGTTACACATGTACAGTGGGGCACTTCAGCTGTCTCGCTGACCTGCTCTGGGGATATTATGCAAATACAAAATGCTTTGACTGTGAATAGTCAATTTTAACACTCTGAGGTATTGGAAATTGACTACATGTTGAAGAAGTTAAGCAAACTACATGTAGTTTGTATACTTTTAATAGACAAATCTGAGGAAACACCATTCCTGTAGGGCCATCGCACTCAAGCACGTCTTGAGCGCATGCACTATGGCAAGTCACAACGCCCTATTGGTCGCAGAGGAATGTAACATACGCATATATGTACCACCTGCGTGTGAACAGGATGGCCCTGTAGTAGTGGCTTCTAATCCTTTCCACCGGATTTGTCTTTACTGAGGGCATCTCAGGTGTACGGTCAAACTGTAAACATTTTACAGGCCATCAAAGGGTTCATAAATGGTAAGCCCCCTCCCACAACAGTCAAGAAGGAACCAGCAAATTTAAACAGCTCAACAGAGAGGCTTTATGTGAACAGTAGAGCGACCGCACCATGTAAAAGTCATGCGACCTAAACAGGGTATCAAACAACAACAAACATAGTGTCCTCCCACAGCAAAGTGTATCCAAAGTATCATTTATCAAAAATAAAGCCAACAGTTGGTACACTGAAGACTACTGATGCTGGTGCTGAGTATTTTATCAAAGGTCGGCTTGATTTTTTTAAACAACACTTAAAACACACTTGCTAGAGGGTTTGTTGATGTTTGCTACCCACTATAGGTCACGTGACTCAGTGGGTGTATATTACAAGTAAGGAAATATGTGTAGCGGCGCCGGCTATGCATATACATGTATATGCAAACTTACACTATTTCTGCTAAGTCCACGGAGTCTGCTAAGTGTGAATCATCTTATATATGAAATTCCCAGAATATGCGTAAGCCTTAATGAAGTGACATTACACAAGACATATGCAAGGTTATGCAGTAATATGTGAGATGGTCAATGTATAGCCTTGGCGTAAATTACGCTTGTTTCAGACAGGTGTTCTGGTGTCAAACCACACCAAATTAAAAGCAACTTTTGAAATAAGTATGGCACAAGTTCAACTTCTGAACAATTAGGAGCAACCAGGCATACCAGCAGGTGAGAGCTCAGCACTTGAAGGCGCTCGGAACAACACCGGAGCAACTTGGTTTCAGATGTCGCTCTTTTCATGTGTGAAAATAAGTAATGACCCTTTGACAAATCCCAAAATCCATAGCTAAAAATGGATGTGACTGTTGAACTGCGTTCAAACATGATGGGACATACAAAAACGTCAAGGTATGCATGTCATTTCTAGCCATAGTTGCCAGGTGCTTCTCGACTAAATGTATTCAATATTTTGTGCTCAGTGCAATCTTGACTCTTCCACAAACTTACTGTACTTAGTAGCCGAGCTAGGTTCCCTCTGAAAATCACGGAGGAAGAAAAAGCCTAAAATTAGTTAAAAACAATTTTAAAACCGAACATGATATGATGTTAATATATTTGGGAAAGAGTTCGGACAACACTAATTTTTCTTTAGAATTTTATAACAGCTGTCAGAAAGTGACAGTGTAACCTGGAAAAATGACTCGCTGTGGGGGAACTTGCAAAACAACAAAAATCTCTAACATAACCAAGGATCTTTGAGGGAAAGGCTGCAGGAAACTGAATTAATAGGGACTAAGACACAAATATTTGGCTTCAAAAAAGGGCAAAAAAGAATTTAATGAAAAAGAAAGAAAAAATGCAAAAACCAAAATGACTACAAAACTGGAAAGACTAAATATACCAAATGACTCAAACTTTAGAAGGACTAAAACCAACACAGTGTGTCAAAATAGATTCAGTGAGAAGACTTTAGCTTTCAGTCACTGACTCTTTAGAAGCAGACAGAAACCTGACTCGAGCAGAAAAGCACACTCCAGTGAGGAGGAAGAAATCGTCGACCATGTCAGATGCCACATCCAAGCTAACAATGTTGGAATGGGCTTGCTCGTTTATGTCCAAGGGTACCAGACTTGGTAGGGGCCATTGGGCCGCAGAACTAATGGGAGTAGCTGTTGGACCGGTTGCCAGCGGTTGTTGTTGAAAAGGAAGCCACTGCTGGGCGGCAGGATACCCAAACATGTATGGCGACATACAGTAAAATAGCGGCTGCATGGAAGTCACCATGTTGGAATGCTGCCCTGTTGTGTCGGAAGACATGGCCAGTAATTCGAAAAAAATGGCTTGCGGGGGCTGTTGAAAAATTATTACCCAGGGGGCCTGTCGGATATGGGGCAACCCAACGTGAGGTGAAACCCATCATAGTATGAGACTGGGCAACCAAAGCAGAAGCTGATGCCGATTCTGAGTGAGGTATGGGGCGAGGGGAGGCCACGAGTTGAACAACATTCATAGGTTCAGGCCATGAAATGCACGGCTGAGTGTGCTGAAATCCTGCCCGAGGCAAGGCGGGAGCTTTTTCCCTACTAGGTCGGTCACAGAAACATGCTGAAGGCTAGAATCTCAAACATGAGAAGCACTTGAGGTGGATTTGCCCTCAAGAATTGCTGTTGTTTTGGCGATGGACTACTTCACTTCTTGCTAGAAGACATTGGAATCACGAATGTAGATACAATGTATGAAGAGTGGAGCATAGACCGCACCATATAAAACAATGACATGCTTCGTTGGGTTTGGGGCATATTTATAGAGCATGAAAGTAAAAGGTCATGCAGCGAGCTTCCAGAACCCTTGCACGGTCTGCCTATGGGATTTTACATTGGGCCGTCCTATCACGTTCGATAATCTTTTGAAAAATAATTCCTTTCTGAAACCACCCCATGAAACATTCATGTTAGACTTATACCTTTGTCTTCCTCAAGTACTATTTTCGAAAAGTCACAGCTAGAAGAGCTAGGAATTAGATTCTCAGTGATACTCAGTCCTGGCAGGATACCACTTGAAAGTCCGGATCAAACACCAACTCTTGTCAGAGTCATCTTCTGAAAGTGAGGCTTTGTCAGGAATGAATATGTTGGGAGGCCGGAGGGTAGGCATATGGTTTTTGTCAGAAACCTGATGGTTGGGATAAGGCAAACAACGTGGCTCCTAGCAGATGTGACCATCAGCAATCTATAGGACATGAAACTCGCTACCTTGTCTCGATGTAACGACCATAAGGAGAAACGCCAGTTTGATGCCGAGATGGAGGTCAGATGCATCGGTCAGCAGTTCGAATGGGGGACCAGCAAGAACGCGTAGAACACTTCCATGGTTCCTGGTTAAGACCAGGCATTTGACGTGGGGACACTTAACAAACATTTCTCGAAGGAGATCGTGGATGGCAGCGCTGTCAGCGACAGTCGATCCATCACTGAAGCCCAAATGAACAACTGCCAAGGACAACCAGTAGTTGCGGATGGTGGAAATCTGCAACGGAACTAACAGGAGCTTCGGTTGGAGAAACATCATGGTCGTCGCACCATCTAGTAAAATGTTGTTGACGGCTGTTGTAAATTTTGCAAGTGTACAGTCATCGACCCCGGGCCGCCATGGACGCAGCATCTGCAGAAAGGCCCGACACCCTGAAGGATCATTGGATGATGTCCAGCACGTCAAGTGACTCTCCGGTGCTGGGTGGAGGGTTCCTGACTTGGGTTGACGAAGGATGTCCTCCCTGACTGGAAGGACCAGCTGCAGTTGTACCATGAGTCTTGTCAGTCTTGGAAACCACAGTTGGCGAGGCCAGCACAGAGCAATGAGGAAGATCCGACATGGCTCTTGTTCTATCTTGGACAGGACTCGCGGGATATTGAAAGAAAGGCATACGCCAGAATGCCTGACCAGTGGAACTGTAGGGCACCTGTCACCCATGCCCATTGGTAAGAGAACCTGGAGCACAACTTTGGGAGACGGGTTTTGTCAGTGGAAGTGAACAGGTCAATATGGGGATGCTCGATCTCCGCAAAGATCTGGCTGACCACTTTCGGGTGAAGAATCCACTCTATTGGTTGGAGGGCACCCCGACAGAGTGTGTCTGCTATGCTGTTGCTGGTTCCCGCTATGTAGACAGCTTGGAGGGTGATCCTTTGATCATTCATCCACATGAAGAGCTGCACACAAGGGCGCAGTGTTGAGGAGAGTGAGTGCCGCCCTGGTGGTTGATGTACGCTACTGCAGTGGCGTTGTGGCTCTGGACTCGAATGGAACGACCTACTAGGTGTTGTCAGATGTGGTGAAGAAAGTTGAACACCGCTTGGAGCTCTAACCTGCTGATGTGTTTGTCTCAAGGGGCGGTGTCCCAGACCCCAGAGGCATTGAGTGGAGGAAGAAAGGTCTCATCTGAATAGCGACACATCCGCTGTCATAGTCACATCCGGACCTAGAGGTATGAAAGGGAGGCCTGCCGACAGGTGCTCGGTGATGGTCCACCCCCGAAGGTGATTACGTAGGGAGGTCGGCCCACATGTAAACAAAAGTTGAAGTATTTGTTATACGAAAAAAATAGTGAGCCCTGTTACAGTGTACTATGTTCGACATGGCCACTTGAATCCTTAAGTTGGAGGACTACGGCCATATCATTACATGCACGGAGCATTAAGATCATTCTGTATGTATTGCAAGAATAGAAAAGCTGCCGGTAAGGAGCGTCCAAAGAGGGAAGACCGCTCCATAACCAAATACTTTCATCCTACAATGAAGCATTCTTTTCCAATAGATAAGAAATCACTTTTTATTCGTAAACAGAAATCAAGTCAATTCACAAACGCAAAAGGTACTCGAAACTTCGAAAATGCCATAAAAGACACATCTGTAAACAATAGGTGCTGAGAAAAGAAGGACCAAAATGGTGGCGGGATCACAGTGCATTGTGGAGGGTCAAGGTGCAGAATGCACAATCAAGTTGTAATAGGCAAATGGGAAATGGGAAATTTGCATATGTGGGCTGGGCAGGGGTATGTGAACGCAGGAGACTTGCTGAACAAACAAAACATAGCCACAAAAACATGTACAAAGTCAATGGGCTGAAATAAATATTGAAAAATTCATAATAAATAACTTGATGATGTCATCGTGATATCATGGTTCTAGACACATCTTTACACAAGGGTCCTTTATTGGTAAAAGTTTGAAGATCTAAAGTTGCAAAAGCACCTAATTCGTGTGTAGGAAATATGTGCACAAATTGGTCAGAAGAGGAAAAGGGAAAACAAAAAACGAGAAATTTATGCCTCTTCGAGAACAGAGTATAAGGCTTTTCTGGATTTTGAATGTTTTTTAAGGAAAAAGAGAATGGGGCTTTAACCCCTTCTGGCCGGGATTCTGTTGACCGCGACTGTTGGGATGTGGCATGCCCAGTATGCAAAGCTCTGTCCAATAGCAGGCCCTATTGAAACCGCAGCTGCATGATGAATAGAATGTATGTGTGGTATGCACTAATCCTCACACAAAGCCGAAGCTGTGGATGGTTCTTAGGATGGAGGGCTTAAGAATGGACGTTAAATGTCTATTTTTGTCCATAACACTTCCCTTTCCGGATCCACAAAGTTTCAATTCATTTGCACATGGACTCCGGGAGATATAGGACTTTAATCATTGCACCTTAAATGTCATGTGACTTGTCACTTGATGAGGTCATTATCACATGAAGTCAATTTTCATCTATAAGCCTTCCCTTTCCAGCTATCTGCAAGGTTTCAACCCGATGGGAAACGTACTTTAGGATATATAGGGCTTTGAAAAGTACACTTTTACTGTCACGTGACTTGGCACCTGATGATGTCATTGTCACATGCGGGCAATTTTCATCTATACATACCTTCCCTTTCTAGTTATCTGCAAAGTTTCAACCTGATTCGACATGTACTTTAGGAGATATAGGGCTTTCAAGATTGCACATTTTCAGGTCTTGACTTGGTATATGTAATCCATTTTCATCTTTGATACATCCCTTTCAAAATATCTGCAAAGGTTCAACCCAATTGGGCATGTACTTCAGGAGATGTAGGCCTCTGAAATTTGCATCTTAAATGCTACATGTATGTCACGTGACAGGTGGTGATGTCATGATGACGATTTATCTTGGACCCTGTCTATCATGAGGACTGAGAGTAGACCTAACGTATCCAGTCAGATCAAAAAAGGGCCTTTGTCTCGCTGGTGAAAAAAGTGGGAAAATATTAAATATTTTAAATTCCACAATAAATCAGGTGATGATGTCATTATGACATCATGTTTTGGAAGAGACCCTTGCTATAAATTACTTAATTCAAGTGTAAAGTTTCAAAGTCATATGACTTTGTTTAATGCCCAAAGAGGTGATGAGAATAAGTGCTGGATGACCAAGAAGAAAAAAAAACTGGAAAAAAAAGTAGAAAAACAAAGCTTTTCCACATAGCGCACTATTTGGAAAAGCCAAAAACAGAACAAAAAGGATGCCTTTTCACACAATTGCGAAAAAGCAAATTAAAACAGTGTGGACTTTTACACATTTATGCATACCTGCATGGTTTACCAGCTTGGGGAGAGGGGGACTATGTACAAGTATACATGGACTACAAGAATCACACGAATACTCATAACTTGATTTCAGTGAAGGAATACTGCAAAATGAAACAAAATTCTCTATCTCGTACTTTTGAACCAAAACTTTTCATACTAGATAAAATCTCTATGATGGCCCCGGGAAATGGCAACATGGCAAGCAAATGTGCTGTTTCCCATAAACTTCCTGTAATTGCAAACTTGGACTTTTTTTTCATGGTCTCTTTAGATTCAATAGTCATGTCAAACTATACTAGTACAGAAATGGCGTGTATGTGCCAATCCTTCCGAGAGCATGGAAAATTGTATTGTTGTCAATGAATTATTAAAGCAGCTTTGCCAACCAGCGGCAGTGACATGCATATGCCTGCCTTATTTGCATATTTCATGGAAAAGGTACATTACTTTTCAGGCTAAAATGTGTTACTCCAAGTTCTGTAATGACATTTTGCTGCCAAGCTTCTGGCAATACTGAGTATCAAACAGGAGCTTTTATGTCCAAGTCTCATGAGAAACCACAAAAAAACTGCCAGTGCAAAAAAACAAAAAATCTGAATTTTTTACTTATATTTTAAGACAAATCAAACTTGGCATATTCAACAGAAAGAGCTCAATTGTATGAAAGTTAGGCCAATTTTAGTATGTGTACTTCATTTGCAGTTACACCAATTATATCTTGGAATTTGTTAAGCGTGAATACTGAAGTCACCCTGGCCCAACTTTGCGTCAGTCAATTCTGCTTCAAGCAAAACAAATATTAAGTAGTGACTTACACTACAGTTATAAAATGTACGTGTACCTCAAGACAAGTTTGCCTTGAGATTTAATGCTGTGGTGTGAACAATTACGCTTTGAGTTAAAGGATAAACTTGATTCAAATACAGACAGTTGTACTCACTTCTCATCTGGGTAATTTGGCAAGGACACATTTGCATCCAAGTTTTGAGGATTGATAAAAGCTGTCTGGATTTGGTCAAAGAAGAAAGCACCACCCCCAAATCCAGCCACAACAAGACCATTGACCAAACCTTTCCGTTTAGGCATCCACTGGAGAAAAAAACAAATGTTTTAAGCAATTAATTTCTGGTTAACTCTGCCTTAAACTGCATTTGCAAAGGTCACAGTAACTTGATCTGTGACTGGCAGCAACGTACATGGCAACAAATTACATGAAAAATTAGCTCAGTGTGTGTAGTTCTCAAGTTGGGGGTAAGGAGTACAAGTTCTTCCATTTGAACGTACAATGTATCTTGTCCCTAGTAACAGATCTAATGGTAGTGAGCATTTTGGCTTGTGCATGGGTTAAACAGTTCCAGCGACTCCTAAGGTTTATTAGCCTTTGATCAAGGTGCTCGCGGCAAAGTGGATAGTCGCTCAAGAGCAAGGAGCTGGAGGAGGCTAGTTTAAGGCACCAAACCAGCGCACAAAGAAAGACTACATGACGTACCACACGTATGCCTGAATTAACTATGCATACATGCCGTAGAAATGCCGAGTGTGTTGTGGACTGTGCATGCTGCAAGCACCTTTAGAGCTTTGTTTTCAATGGTTAATCTAATGAGTCTAGTTGTGTCTTCTACGGTCAAGGGCCAGGTCTCGCTGCCATATTACAAACAAGACAAGTCTGGCTAACTTGGAAATTAACCTTTGCTGTCCATTATTTTAAGGGTGGCACCTTAACCTCCCTCCCGTCCCCCATCTCCTGGGTCTGTGGTTATGATGGTGAGGAGGAAGATGATGAGATTGATCATGGTAATGATGATGAAAACAATGATAAATTGACTAAGTTTGCTCAGTGTTTTAATTCATAATGCCAGCAAAACACTGACAGCATGGACAATACTGACATTGTGTGTCATCAACAATATTGTAATTTTTTTATTTATATTAACTGTATTTAATAATGTTTTTAATTTAATTTGCATAAATTGTTTTGTTTTTATTTAATTTTTTATTTTTTTGTTAACAATAAATTCTTAAGTACTGCATGCAGTTACTGTTGTGGATATTTATCAAACAAGCCTGAAGTACTCTTTCACAATACGTTTATGCAGGTGAAGCTTCAAGTAACTACTGTCAGTGGTCAAACAGAGACTTAGAACATCCCTTTAAAACTTGGTGATGCTGCATATGCCTTGGGTAAAGGAGATTGAGTCACTGCCGTGAGAGAAGTTGTTCAGACACCAGGAATGGATAAACAACTGCGGGAATAAGTTACAGATCAAATAAACTCCGAATGTGCAGCTCTATATGTACCACTAAGGTTGTGTCATCTTTCCGTGACAGCAGCAAAGATGCCTTGCAGGTAAACAGAAGCAACAGCATGAGAATCTTTATCAAAGATCCGTAATTAATGGTAAAAGCAGAAGGCCATGTTTGTTTAATACTTTTTGATCCTCTTTTTTTATAAATGATTTTGTATTGCTTCCTTGCACTCTCCCTGCCCTCAAACTCTTATCTTAGCAAGTTACTAATCCCTTTGTGAATTGGCTCTAATGCAGTCCATGTAGATAATGTGTATCCATGGCCATGGCCTAATCTTATGAATCCATCCTTCACCTTCCCATAGAGCATGTTCGTGCTCTATGGTCTACCTTAATCCCAGTTAACAATTTGATACCAGTGAGTCATTAATAATTTCACATTTCAAGGCCTTGGTTCACATTTTCAGTTTATTTCATCCAACATATATTTTACAGTACTATAAATATGACTTTACAACTTTTTAGAAATTCTGAAATTGAAATGAATATGATGAACAGTCTAAAAAATATAGCACAAACATTTTTTTACACGTCATTGGGTGATGCACTCTTTAATAAATTGGTTAAACTCTTGAAATTTAAAAAGGCCACATACAAGTACACCATACCATTGGCCTGAACACAATACTTAAAAGATACTCTAAGATGTTGCAACAATCTTGTTGTGTGAACAACCCCATGTGCATTTTTTTCTTTTTCTTTTCTTTTTTGGTCGAGACTAATCCTTAACCCACTTCTCACCATAATGGTTCCTGACTACCTTGATTTTTTCATGTATTTAGAAATGGTCTAATGAAGAACAGAACGAGAACCTCAGCAGAAATCACCAACACTTCTTGCTTGTCTGAAAGCCACAGGGGTCAATCCTTCTGCCAAGAAGAGAAATAAGATGAAAACATACAAAAGTATCCAACCGGGCCTTATGATACTGGTGGGCTCCTCTTTTGCAGGAATCGGTACATGCCCACCAAAGTATGACAGCATTCCAAGTCAGTAGAGGACGATGTGGCTCAAAACCTATAAATCCTTTGAATGCAAGGTGTTTGAGTGTGAGCTACAAAACACTCCTGCAAAAACAAATTGACTTAGGAAAAAAATTTGATGAAGATGCCATACTGTGGAAGTGTAGGGTTCAGGAGGAGGCCAAAACAGAAAATGAAATAAAAGAGACACCAAAGAGGAATCCTAATGATGTGTCCTGGTTACATGCTCAATAGGGACAATATTGACTCGCGCATTAGACTTTGGCAAATGACAATATCGTCAGGCAACAAGGACTTGCATTATTTCCACCTCTTCTTGGCTGTTAAAAACTGGATTACAGATTACAGTCTCTCTGATGATATTCCGACCAGCACGATACAAAATGTCCACTTGAATTTGTCAGTACTTTTTCCTCTTGCAGTGACAAGAAACATATTACTGCTATTAGTTGTCTATGGTAAAAAAAATAAGCCATTCCTTTCATGGTCAATTGCAGGCCAAAAGTAGCCTGGTAGCAATTTTTTTTCCCAAGCCGGGAATCCACGGAATATTGGGCGTATTCATGAGACTGGTAATTTACATAAACCTTGAATATTGCATTCCGTCCGCGGGCGTGCCTGGTTGTCAAGGGGTTTTTCGTTTGGCGGGACTGGTGTACTCTCTGTGATCCCGAGGAATGTCTGCGGTGCGGAATGGTTGGTCAATTTCATGATGCCACCATATATAGGCACTTCAAAGAGCTTAAACAATTCCTAATAAATATGAACAGGATATTAGCCTTGTCTGCTTGGGCACCATCAAAGCCACTTAAACCTTATCAAGAACGGAAAAGCACACCCAGATATGCTATTTCTGTACGTTCATTTTTTGGGGTATATGCCTCGTGAATAAAAAGAAAATGCAGGATTACACAATGACTCTAGTCTCGTCAATGAAGATTCCACACACAGTCTGCCAAGATTTGATCCATGTGCGTCCTCTTTTAAATGCAGTCTCGGGGCTCATAAAAAAAACTGACACTTCTTCATGTTTTAGACTGGCTTCATCTTGGTCACTCATCTCCCCAAGATAGACTGCAGAAATTCCCAACTTCTGGAGTGCTTTCGTTTGGGCTCTCATGAGGGACACCAGAGGAGAAGTGACCACCACTACACTGTTAGATGTGCTTGTTGATGCAGTGACGTTTTGCTGTTGCCTCTGAAGTAACAAAAAAAGTTTCATTCCAAACTTATAAGCACTTGAGGGAACTGCAAAGAAATGCAACTGCAAACTGAAATCAGTTTGTTAATTAAATATCCCTCCCTGTGTAAACCAAAACCCCCAAAAATGCACTGCTTTCATGGACATGATGCCTGAAAGATGTCATGCATGCAACTCACTCAAAATTTTATGATATGAACCTGCACCAGTCCTCCTTCTGTCATTAACTGTACATGTATCTACCTGTCTAGATATATGTTTTTGTGTACATATAACACTTCCATAATGCCAGCCAAGATATCATGTACTATATTAATACAAAATGGACTGGGAAATATTTGGGACTCATGTTTTCTGAAGTGCGCACCACGTCTTGGGCCTAGCCTACTATACTAAGGCCAACAATTTTTTGTCAAACTTCATACACCTTAAGTGGTTTGAGTGGACTGGATCATAGGCCTAGCCAGGATTTTTTTAGACCCTATAATACTAGGCATAGGTCCCTACCCCAAAACTTTTGCCAGTTTCACTGTTTCAAAGAGAAGCAGTTTTTTTTTAACTAATCGACGGTCACACTTAAATATTAATAAAATATCTTAGTATTAAGTCGTAAATGAAGGTGTTGTGGATGATTTTTGAAGCATACACTTGAAGTTGCACAATGTGCTGGCCCATTTTTCGGACACTGGCTTTTCGGACTCTCGCGTGCACGTGAAAAGTAAAGCAGAAATTGTGTCAGTTTCTAAGCAGTACCATGCATTCCACCAGACATTCAGGATTAATTTCAGGGTCATAGAGTGCCAAATCTGACAATTGACATGATTTGCAGATTTGTACTTAGTAGGCCTAGCAAGAGTAGCATGTCGTGCATGTCTAGGCTACTTACGTTCATAAAGTCTTTACACAACGGTGTGGCCTGGTATATGAAACTTTTGCCATATCCAGTTGGAAGATTGACAAATACATCCAGAACAGCCTTCATGGCCACCATTTGCTATGGTTTCAATGATCGGAATCCCAAGCTTCGGTGCTGCATATTTGAGGCAACTGCCGGAAAAGACACTATGTTGAATACGCACAGCCATTGAAATGATGAATAATTCATTACATGCATGATGCAATTCCACAACAGAGGCAATCATTTTGATTGGTGGAGACTCCTCCATACACAGCTATCGTATCTGCTACCGAAATGTTGGCAAATATAAAGAAGGTGTGTGGGGTGTGGGTGCGGTTCCTCATGTAGTCTTTTTTCGTGCATTGGTTTGCTGCTTAAACTAGTTTCCTCTAGCTTATCGCTCTTGAGAGACTATCCATTTCGCCGCAGGCACCTTAATCAAAGGCTGTGGGTTTACTAACAATGGCCACAATATGCCAAAGGCACTCATTTTTTAGTAGTTTTAATGTACACGTAAATGGATTTACTTGGCTTGGGGACATTATAACCCAAAAAACAGAAGCAAGCACATGAAATTTTCATAAACTACACATTTGGTACACTGTAAGTACATGTAGGTGTATGTGTATTTGTTACCAAATCACTTCAGGTTTAAAGATTTGCAAAGCTACTAAAATATCTTTGAATAAAAAGTGGTGTTATGGGGCTTGTTTTCCTGTAAGTATTAAAAGTGATGATGACGATAACTGGAGACACAATCCACCTTGAGCAGAAGCACCTCTATCAGTTGAAAGAGAGCCATGTTGGTGAGGAATGTTCTTTTCTGTTGGTAGCTACATGATTGCAATATGCACAATTATCATATGATCATTTGTGAACCAGTGAAGTGTTGCCTGAAAAATTGTGCCCTGTCTTGGTCATGCTTGGGGCTTGTAGAGACCCACTTCGAAGGCATGTATCAAAGGCATTTAAACAGTAGTGACTTAAACTTCCTTTGGCAGTACCCACTGGGATCTCTAACCAACTCTGTTGCTATTCCAAAGTTTTGAGCATATGTGCATACTTGTACACGTACTTACATTCATTGCACATACAAGCGGTGGAGCATATGCGATGCCGATACCAATGCCCTGAAGTACACCATACGTTAGAGCCATGAGTGTAAATGAATGCTTTATGGTGAAGAAAGACAGTAGTACGCCAAGGCTGCAAAGAGAATGACCACATATTAAATGATGTAAGACAGACACAATAATTCATGAAGAAAATATGTTCACCTTTTCTTAATGTACAAGTATGTTCTTGAAGCTCAGGCTGCAATGCTAAGAATCCATCTGAGGTACACTGACTCTGGGTCCTTGATCAATTTTGCGGTCACATTGGCACATTAACATGTGTATACATGAAGTATTCCAAAGCTCTGGGTGAATTTTATTTGGTGAGAGAAATCATTTGTTATTTAGCGAGTGAACTTTTCTCTCACAAGGACAAGTTTTTTCCAGCACTTCTGAATGCCTATTGAGGGTGTCAGTTTACATGTGAATACATACATGTACTAGACCTGATCATAATAAAAAAACAACATCACAAAGGTCACAACCCAACCAAGATGTTTCACTGGACTAAAGGAGCGACTTGCTAAGGTAAGAATCAATAATTTACTCCTAACCTTAAAGTTCCTGTAATCTGTTACTCTAAACAAGAGTTGTGGATTTATATTACTAGAAGGTAATGGGATATTCCATAATACATGTATTCACCTTTTAGATCATCGTAACATTCTCTTTTATTCCCCCAATAACAAAGATTTTAACAAGAACTATTATACAATTTTTCATGAAAAGATATACAATTCTAAAACCTGCAATGCTGTATAAACAGCTATACCACTTCAAGTCAAAACATTTTACCAATATTACAAGTGATTCATTGACTAAATTTAATCCATAAAAGCCCAAGTTTACTCATTCCTATTGGTCCACATTAACGTTGTGCAAAATCGTCCCGAAACCGACTTCGGGTCAGGTCGGATTGGTTTTTAAAACATTTCAGTCGGATTGGGTCGGTTTTGGTTTTGTCTTTGTGGTTTTCAGGTTGGGTCGGGTTGGTTAAGCTATATCGTGAAAAAACCAAAATAAACCAAAAATAACCAAAAAACCTAAATGGGAAATTCACAAGATGAATTCACTTTTTCGAGCTTCAGATTACATGACCAAATTTCTATGTCTGTAGTGGCAGTAATGCGTTACATCAAAATAAACAAGTAAACACAAACTGTACTAGTATTCTGAGTAGAGCAGAAATGTGGACGTGCACAGCTGTATACAAAAAAAGATTTTTTTACAGGTGATGCTACATACAGGGCTGGGCTTCATCACTTGATTGATTGATATGGTATTCAAAATAGGGGTTCCGTCTTTATCTAGCAATCACTGTGGGACAGTCTGAAGTCCAAGTAGCATTACTAGTTCTGTGGTGTTAGATGGGGACAAACAATCGTCAAAAAATTTGGAGGGAAATGCTGATGCCTCTGTAAATAAATGCCAGAGTGTCACATGGAAAGAAAGCTGACTTAAGTTGGAAACTGACTTTGGAAGGAATGGAATTAGTTCAACCAACCGGGAAAAAGGCAGCAATTTGGAGGAAATTCGAGTATCTCAGGGTGGTGGGAATGGATGAAATCATCACATCCTTTGCTGTGTGCTGTGAATGCAGTTGTGTATCAATATGACTCGAAAATGGGTAACTCAATGCTGAATTCCCATAAATGTTTCACAGCGAAGAGCCACGGACAGGGAACAGTTCTTAAAACCCAGATTGGTATAACTTCAAATCATCACGACTCACTTCCTTCTTAACTGAGAACAGCTATGAATGAAGTTGCTGTTACATACTGTGCATTGTGCAACCCAACATGCAACCGCTGAGTATTTTTGAAGAAGATGGGCTACTTGGGTTCTGCCAACATTGCTTTGACTAAGGGCAGTTTTAATGTTAGAAGTGAGCTGGCACATCACACTACGCCAGTGCCCACTCACCCAACAAACACAATCAGCTTCATGATGAAATACTTCAAGAACTCGATCGTGCTGATGGAATAGCTTTGATTTGAATGGCGTAGGTTGTGCTGCACACCTTTATTAATCTTGTAGTGCAGGCTATGATGGGATCTGACAAAGCCCCAGAGGCTAGGAAACTCTTCACCGCTGGTAAAATAATCACAACACATGTGAAGAGAGCATCACTACAAGTCAAGTTACCAAACAAAGTGAGCCAACACATTGGAACTCGAACACTCTTCATGCTGAACTCCATCTTGCAAAGCGTGGAATGAACTTTCTAAGACAATGGTCAACAGAAACAAAGCTGAGTACCTCACTGGTATGAGTGCCACCAAGTTGGAAGATGCTATTAATTTCCTCTAACCATTCAAAGATGCCTCTGACCAGCTAGAAGCCAACAAGTTTCCTTGTATTGTTTCAATACACAAAACTTGTGAAACATCTGCAACACAGTGATGATGACTCCAGTCTGATCCAGAGCATGAAGGCAGTTGGTTGAGTGGACTGTGGTTTACCTAATTACCTATTCATGAGGTTTTTTGAAAGAGTCTCTCCATCTGTTGCATACTTAATAGAAAATATGGGGGACCATGCAGAGGAATTAAAGCACACTAAAATGTAAGAAAAAATATCACGTCACAAGAGACACTCAAGTGAGTCCAGCACTGGCCAACAATGATGACAATTATTTTGGGGGGCCTAAAGATGCATCAGCCAGTGAAAGAGAAAGAGTACTGAAAAAGCCAAAAATCCACATCTCTCTCATTCCTATCCCGCATAGTCAGAAATGTTTTCTCAGTTCCATCATCTTCTGCTACTTCAGAGAAGTTTTTTCTGATGCGGGCTTTACTGTTAGTAACAGACATACATGACTAAAGCCAGGTGCTTTTGATGAAACTGCTCTTCGTTCAATCAGCAAGCCACCTGCCACCATTTGCAGACGATGATGATGATGATGATGATTACTAATCAAGGACAGCCACTATCATTTTGCAACTTATTACCAATATCCAGTTTTGGAGTTTGGGGGAAACCACAAAAAGAAAATGAATGATTCCAGTCTGTCTCAATCAGGCTTATACCAAGTTAACAGGACTTTCAGGATATAAGATGCTTGTGTGCTTGTGATGATTGACGATTCTTCTTTTGGGACAAATGAGGCAGATAAAATAGACAAAATTACACACATGTACGGGAATGTAGAAAACCGATTCCCCATACTGTATACTTTGTTTCGTGTAATCAAGAAGATGATTGCAAATCTTGTTCAACCAACAATTTCAATACATAACACATCTGAAAATACTTTGCTATCCAAACTTTTTAAAAAGGTTATTTCAGAACATGGCGATCTCTTTATATTTCCTGGTATTGGCGATGCACACAATGAAAAATCGTGAAGTGTGCAATTGCGCAGTTGAAATATTGAACAATGTGCATGGTTTGCACACATGCAGGAACTTTATAGCGCAGGTCACCTCGTTAAGACGTGAGACAATACGATTATGTATGACAAGTATATCCTTACCTATAATTATGCAATACTGGCATAAGTTCAGGTACAAAACGGATACAATTTGTATGAAATAAAGGATGATTAGCCCAAACCAGTTATTCAGATTTTGTCTGGTTCAGTTACGTTTTTGTCAGTTCGAGTTGGTTTTCCCCTGATTTCTTATCAGGTCGGATCGGGTCAGTTTGGAGAGTTCAGATCAGGTTTGGTTCGGATTTGGTTTATTTCTTTAATGTTTCATGTCGGTTTGGCTAGTCAACCCAATCCCATGCATATCATCAGTCCACAGCCTGTCACATGGGAGAGTCCTAGTCCAGCTTTCTGCAAGTATGTCATCCATTTAGGCCTTCTGTTTGTTGATGAAGCCCCAGTTAGTTGTCTTTACCCCATCTGCTGCTAACCTTTCCCTCACCATATCAGGCAGCTGAGAAACATTCAATTAACAATCAAAAACTGTTCTTGAAACTCAAAATAGGGCAGCACTTGCTGTGGGTATGGAGTCTCTATGTCTTCCCCTTAACATGGGTACCATTTGCTAAATAACAAAGAGCTGGTTGAATGGAAGTTGAGGAAAAATGGGGTTTCTTCACTTCTAACGAGGCTGTATGGCCCTTGAAGGACTGTGTGTCTTCTTTACTTATACTGCAGAGGGATTTAAAAATACTTCCCCAATACCTCATATATATATAATGGGCACAAAGCTGGTTTCATACGAGTCTTCCTGGTCTGAAGGTGCACTGCGTAAAGGCCTCGATGAGCATGGGGCTAATGGTCTTGCAATGTCTCTTTCATCATCCTTTTCCTCAGCAATGGCTGCCAAAAAGTGAATGGACAGTGAAGCCTCAACCCCTGGTGACTCGCATACATGAATATGGTTTCCACAGCTGGGAGTACAGCTCAGCTATGCATTATGAAAATGTAGCAGAGACGCTAATTTTGTATTAAGTTATTCATGCTGTACTCTGGCGTGATCGTGTGTTCCTTCACTCCTTTGTCCTTGTGTTTTCTCAGCTCAGTTTTGGCACGTCGAAATTCCCCTCCACGTGGCTGCGTGGTTGGGCGTGGTAAAGTTCCCTGAAATGCTAATGTTCAGAAACCTCAGACTTTGTAACTGTCACTCATTCGCCACAGATGACCGGGTAAGCACTTTCACGCACTCGGCTCTACACTCTGTACACATGACTTCTTATTCTGTATTTTACCTTTTTACACACGACCCTTAGATTCTTGCACACACGATTCTAGCTGGAAGTCATGTGACCCTTTGAGATGGAAGATTTTCATTGGTTGAGCTGTTCAGCGACGCTCATATTTTATTAATTCCTAAGCCTCTAGAATCCTATAAATAGAGCAGATTTTCCTTAGCTCGTCGGTCAGGTGCGGCGGACCAAACCCTTGTTGCGAGAACGGAACCTAACATAGTGCGGCGGTTGGACCCTTTCCGAGAGAAGTGCGATTGTAATCATTCTTATGGTGAAGAAATGTAGCCATATGAATGGCCAGCTAGTTTAGCTTGGACTGATGCGAGAGCAGCACGAACTAGCCCAGGGTGCTAGCGAGAGTCGTAGCGGCCCATCACCGCTACGTCCGAACCAATTGCCGGGCAAGACAACCCCATGTCACTTGCCACCCTTGCTAACTAGCCCCAGTCTTCCCTATCTCTATGCTGAGCCAATGGTACATAGTGCGGCAACTTTATCTTTGCGCTCATCACGTTGCGGTCTGAGCGGCAGTGCGGTCGGTACATACTGGCGCTGGCCCCGTCCAGTCCTCGCTAGTCACCTTGGTGGTGGTGGTGGTATTTAGCAAAGGTAAACTTTAAGTAAAGTTTATTAAATCATTTTCCCAGTAACAGCAATGAAGTGCATGCTGTTATGCTTTCATTGGCAATTGCAACTACAGACATTTTGAAACCACTTTCTTATCTAAGATGTTATAGCGGCCTCACCTTAATAATCTTCTTTTTATGAGAGGCAACCAGACCCATCTCACACGGTCAATCCGGCGAGGCAACTCGCATCCCTTTCCCAGCCCACTCGCATCCCTTTTTTCACCAGCATTCAGCCCAGTCTGACACGGTCAATGCATGCTTTCGACACAATAAGTGGAAAATGTGACTTTAAAACTGTCCACAATTCAAGAAAGCCTTAATTTCTGCACATAGATCAAAATTGGTGACTCAGTCAACTGACTGCTATTTCAAATATAAAATTTGGATCATTGTTTTGCAAGAAAAATCCCAAATAGATTCCATAAATAGGGTCTTTGGGGTGAATGGAAACCAAACATCAAGAGTTGTACAATAATAAGCCACATGATGAATGAGAGCTTCAGATGTCAAATGTAAAAAATTTGAATGCCACTTTTAGTCACTGTCCGTTGTAATTACAATCGTCAATCGTCATTGCAATCGTGAGTTTGGCCAGTTTCTGATTTTGTTTTTGTAATCTGTAGCAAGATCCTAATGGAATTATTTTCTTGTATCTCTGTGAATAAAAATAAGTCACTCTTAATTCAAAACACTTTTTAAAAGCTTATTTGATAAAATATTGGACCCTTCATTAAAACCTTTGACTTTACAAATGCATGTTTGGGGGCGGGACAAGTAACTGAGGCCCAGACAGCTTTATAGAATTTATGTCCCCAGCAGATTTCAAATATTTGGGTATAGCAGAAACAGACCCTTTAGACGGCCTTTTGTGGCTTTTAGATAATTGATACAAGAAAAATTTCACTTATATTCCAATCCACGAGATATGTGTGTTTGATTCTCTTTTTCCAGACAATGTACCGGTAGTTAGACGGTTATTTAAAAAGTCTGTTTCCTGTCTATTTTCTTTCTATCTTTGTTTAAATTAATTTCTGTAGTGGCGTAGTAATTTTTGGAACTTATCACATGTACAATCCACCAACACAAGAAACGTGTTTTGCCATTAATGAACAAAATGAATGCCAGGCACAATTGTATCATCGACCAGTCATCCAAGGCTAATTAGTAAATCCGATCTTGTAACAGTATGATTGTTGATGTTTGCTATTAAACGGCTGCCACAGAGAAAAGGGAAAGCAGTTTATACAGGAAAATTGACCATGTCTTGAAAAGAGTATATATTATAAATCAATGCCACACCATGTACTATGGGGGCAATGTTCATGATAAAGATTGTACATCAGCATGGTATATTAAAATCACTTTACAAATCCAAAATATTTTTTACAATCCTCTTTAACTTTTTGCTCATCACAAAAATGTGTGAGATGATTCCACAGCCCATCCTCCCACCTCCAAAGTTGGGGAGATACCTAACCTACCCCCTCAAGATTTGTGTAAATGATAAATATAAATTATTGGCAACAGTACTTTCCAACATTGCTTTAGTCTAAGGCCCGGCCCTGGGAAACGCTGCGTCAATATTATGGAGGTGACTTGACCCATCACTGCTGCTATACCCATTTCACGTTGTTAACCAATCAACTGTGGCAATTACCTGACCGCAAATAGCACGGGCTACTGCCCAAGGCAGCCTGCAACCCAACCCCCCCAGCTCTTTTTTATGACAAAAGCCGCAAAGCCCATTATAAAGAGTAAGTTAGGGCAGGATTAAGATACCAACTTTTAGGACAGTGTGCTGGTAATGAACCGCCACAACAAGTGTGGACGTATCTTATTTCATCCGTACCTGGTCGAGCATTGTGTATGGTGTGTGCATTGGACTTACATTTACTGCACAGTGCAAAGTACATGTACATTGAGTTTGCATACTCCATACTGGTCCGACCTCAAGGCAAAATGTTTTTATGTATCTTGCTGGGGAAACTCGAATTGAAAAATTCAATAATTGTGGCTTTAAAGGATTATTTTAAAGGAAGCTTCTATCAAGTTTTAACTGTAGTCTCCTCTCATAAAAAAGTATATATTGATTGCGAGGTTTGCATACATGTACCTTTATCGCCCTCTCAATAAGGGGGCAGATTTCTAAAAGCGAAGTTCAGAGCATCCTTTGGTCTGCCCTCCAAATAAGGGGGCAGAATTCTAACAGTGAAGTTCAGAGGATCCTTTGATCCACCCTACCTATTGGGGACGGAACAGAATTCTGACAGCGAAGTTTAGTGCATACTTTGATCTACCTCCTTGGCTGGGAAGCCTCATTTCTCCCTTGGACGCCCACCTGCGGAATCCCAACCGGGGAAGGTAACCAAGTACTGAGTGCCATCAAAGTTTTTATCTTTGCATATTCCCATCATCCTATTAGTCTGGTCCCAGCCAATTTGGCTCATCAGGCCGGTGTTTATCTCCGGTTTCCTTGGCATGAAACAACTGAGAATATTTAGATTCCCCCCTGGATGGGATGCCAGTCCATCGCAGGTTGCTTCCCCAGCTAATGCTGGTACCCATTTATACTCCCGGGTGGAGAGAGGAAAGCAGGGGTGAAGAGGCTTGCCAAGGGCCACAACATACTGCCAGGAGCTGGATTTGAACCTCCAATCCTATGATTGGAAGCCACAAACCCTAACCACTTGGCCACATGCCCGCCAACATGTACATGTAGTAGTTCAATAATACATGTAGTTGATTTTTGAATGTGTGGGAATCATGGAATATTAACAATTAAAACCACTTGTGACTTGGCAAAGAACTTCACTAAATTATAAGTACAGTGTACATGTACACGTACAGTACATAGCATTTTCAACATTCAGCAGAAGACTTGGTTCGAACCCATTTTCTGTACCATGACATTATATTTTTAAGAGAAAAGTATTCCTTCAGTTCATCTCAAAATTAAATGAAATAGTCGATCATGAAATTGTTAAGTTGTTATACGGTTCTGTTTGTATTCATTTTGACTATTTGGCCTTTGTGGTGAGGATATTTGGGTGTAACATACACATGGTGTCAATGTTATACCTGCAACAGTATCAACACCTTTTTTCTTCCAGATTCAAGTCCTTAATAGAGATTATAAATCTTTTAGGCCTCTAGTAGATGGATGACTTTGGTCTTTAAATTAAATACAGCTCATCAGTTGCATTCTTTGAGATCATTGTGTTTGTGGGATAACTTTCTAAAATAAAAAAAGCACTTTTGTTCAAATCATAACCGAACAAGTACATTTGTTTTTTGTCTGTTTAAATCCAAAAAAGTTACTTCTTGTAAAGGAGTCCTCTAAAGGAATCACCGTGCAACATATACATGTATGTGCACAAAAATTGTTCAACTGACCACTATGTTACATCTGCACTTAATGTGACAGCCCTCAATATATGGTGCACTGACTAATTGTGTGTACACTATCAACATTTAATCGTTTCTGCATTTAAAAGTATATTTTTCCTATCTGAAAACTACATGTATGATAGATGAACTTTTTGAACACTTTTAAAATTTCACTATTATGTCACACTTTGTTCCCGAACCTGATGGAATGACGCACTTTATCAAAACTGTCTTGCATGCAAACCAGGTAGTTTGGGGAAAATGAAACCTGTTCATGCACAACACAGTCTCGCTTTACAATTTGACATGTACTCCTGTAATTAAATTACCCAAGGTACCCCTCAATTTTAGAGCAACATTCCAGCTACATGTACATGTGGGAGATGATTTGCAGGCCTTACATGTATCTGTAAACCTCATCTTGGTTTTGGACTATCAGTCTTGGTCTGGGACAGCCTGGTCTTGGTCTCCAACTATCAGTCTTGCTCTTGAATTGGGACAGCAGGTCTCAGACTGTCAGTCTCAAGTCTTGGTATGGGACTTCCTGGTCCTGACTACAACACTGATAACTTAGGCACAAACAAGTACTTTCTATAATTAAAATACTCGTACATGTACATTGTATGTATGTTTAATACCTCATGGTCCATCCACCAATCAATACTGCAACACGTACACCAAGCTTTCGTTCAAGATATCCACCAATCCACATGCTCAGTCCCTGACCAACTAACATCAGGGCGAAGATCAAGCTAGCCTCCTGCAAGGAAAATAACACAAACATTAGTAGTTTAAACTAAAATTTTTTGTACTTACATGTACTTCAATTATATAGAGAAAATTCTCCTGGTGACAGACAGAGCATAATGTTCAAAACGTTGAGTACCCTCCAGTTCTTTTCAGAACCACACATACATGTACTTGGAAAGAGATATCCTTGCATGGTGCTACCGCCAACCTCTATAACTTCCTTGCGACCTTCATCATGAAGCTCCTATGTACAAAACAGCGGATCACTTCAAGTTTTTCTTGTGCAGGTTCATTTTCTCAAATTTCCCCCCAAATTTAGATGTACATATACATGTACTGTATGTTCAGCTCTGATCCTATGAATATGAATTTCTTGCCCAGCAGAAGTTTTTGCATTATCCGCTGCATTAAGAAATGACAAGACTGACAATAATAGCAATGTGTGCAATGGTGAAGGTGATGGTACAAGTTCAAGTTTGGTGTACATGTACATGTACACTTGTACATATTTCACTTTGTCAAATTTGAAATTACACATGTAAACTTTGTGAGTAAACTTTTAAAAGGCTTTTTTGTACTTATTTTAAGAAGTACACTTTTGTGTGTTCTTCATTGAAAGTCATTTGGGTGTCCCATTTGCATTAAACCTAAATCAGACTAATAAAAAACTTTCAAAGCCAAGCATTGTTGGGGAATCTGTCTGCAGGTATGTTTAATGGGGCCAACAAAGGTGGCTCCAGTTCCTTTAGAGTTTTCCATTTGTCCATTTGTCCTTAACATTTTTTCTACTTTTCCTCATATTAAGCCTCAAGTTTAAGTCTGAAATAATGTGACGCAGTGTAAGAAGTTAAATAAATGCCACATACAGCTATGTACATGTAGGTCACAACATTTGAAAGTTTGAATACTATAATAAAGTGTACAGTCAATTACCCTGTGAGGTATGGCTCAACCAATGCACGGGTAATAGGATATGTCAAATAAATTTTCAGATTATCATCTGAATCTATCAAATAGTTCCTTCAGTGAATTACAGGCATGCTACACTGCCTGATATTGCTAAAAAAATGTACATTATTGGCCCTCAATGTGTAACATACCAGGCCATGCAAATTACCATACCTGTACAGGTATGTAAGAGCCAGATAACTGCACCCCCCCCAAAAAAAGGCTTAACTTGCCCCACTCTTCCATAAATAGGGAGGAGTGTCATTGATAATTACATTACCTTATAGTGTGAAACACAATCTTTTGGGAGCTGAAAGCGGTTTACAGTGATTCACCATGCATAACATAACAGGGTCATTCCATGAGGTTGGGGCACAATTTGTGACGGTGTCAATTGTTACATGGGTTCCGTAAAAATGAACAGCTATTTCCCTGCATGTGGATTCCAAATTGACATTGTGATACATCTTGCAAGGCTGAATACAGAGGTGTTATTTTACAGAGTAAATGACCTACTCTACAGGTCATGAAAGATGGTAAAAGGTACCCACGTACTGTAACAAGGACACCGTCACAAATTGTGCCCCAACCAAATGAAATGACCCAACATTCAGTTTACATGAACATTGTACCTTGTAACGAAGACTTTGTGGCTGACTGAATTCACGGATGTAGGATGTGAAATAAGGTGACATATTTCCTGTAAGAAAACACATGTACCAAACACACATATGTAGTTTGTCATTTTACATAACAGTGTGGTGATCATAACAGCAACTTGCAGTATGTGCTTATACTTGGAAACAATTATTGCACACTGACATTTAGAAGTTTGCACATGTACCTGTAACTGCAGGTGAGATAAAGGCTAACAGGCATGGAGTGAGAGGAGGTGATTTATTCTATTATACCAGTGTAGCAAGTTGGTATGCACAGTGGTGTTTTCCAAGCATCAACCCTTTTCTCTTCCACCTTATATTTTTGTAACTACATATAATGTACATGTACAGATAGAACTGGGTGATACACTCTGTTAAGAGAAAACTGTATTCATTTTTCCTGTACTGATAGCCAGTTAACATCAGATTTTCTTACCCAAACAAGCTGCTGGGGGTGGGGTTTCAGCCTTGCAATTTATCTATGATGCCCATAAAATATGTAGGGAGGCACAGCTCTTGACTTCATGCATCAGTATTTTCATTCTTTTCCCCGTTTTTCAGTTACCCATGTAAAAATTGTGACGCATTTCCATGCATCAGCCAGTTCACATAAAAAAGTCCATAGCGTGTCACCCCATGACCATGTGTGTTTTTGCCAATTGTTTCGATACAGAGAAGTTGCTACCCATAGTTGGGATTTCATAACCTTACATGTGCATCTCTTTTATAAGTGTGGTTTTGCTCCCCAGCAAATCGGCTAACCCAAAGGTCTTTAATCACCTTAGTTCTTTTGTACATGGGGTGTGGGCTACCGAATTCAATTCTAATTACTCAAGAAAGGCATTTCTGTTTTACTGTTGGCTGGGGGTAGGTCAACTTAGTAGCAGCGTCCGTGTGTAGTATCGTCTTCCATACTTGATCCAACCAAGCACAACGCGTTAATACGTCAACCGCGGAAATGAAAAAGGAATTCTTATATGAGTGTACATGTACATGTCCTCCATGGAACAAATAAGGAAAAATTGTGTGTGTGTGTTTACACATTTACACACATTTAGCGTCAAGTTGTTGAAAAATGAGCCATCAGAATTAAAACGCTTATCCTTAAGGAACATATACATGAATGTATATGTATGGTGCACCGCCTCTCCCAAAAGATTCTAGTGGATGACTTTACATGTGCAATACTGCATTGTTTTCCTGGGCATCCATTTTTCACCTTGCTTTCAATAATTCCTTGCCATCCACTACATTCATGGCCATGTACAGCATGATATCACCAGAGAATTTTCAGATTCCTTTTCACATCATATGTCTAGAATGGTATCAGCAGGGTGATAACAACCGAGTTTGTCTCTTGGCTGACTTAAAAAAGTTTGAAAGTGGACTTAATTTCCTATTACACGTCTAACCATGGAAATGAAAGAGTATAAATAATGTAACTGTATATGCAGTGCTGTTATTTGTTGATTTTTGTCATTTTTTCATCTGGCAGACACACTTTGGATTCACTTTGTACATGTACATGCTTGGTTTTGTTGTTTGCTCTGATCCTGGCAAAGATACACACTGGTACCTCAGGTTGTGATTGTTTTTATTGGCCGAGAATCTTCATGTGATATGCCACAAACAGGCAGGTATTGGATCCCAAGAACATGGGTGATATTCACTGTTGTACATGGGTACATTACCTCCATCTTTTCCACGGCTGGAAGTGTCATTTCCACTGTGCTGTATTGGTGTGACCTTAGGTATAAGGTTGTACAGCTATACTGGTATGTGTACATGCTGGTCTGTATATGTGAGATGTGCGATACTTTTTCCGCTATTTTATTAACAATTGCTCATACTTGTTTGTACAAGTAACTGGGCCGATTTCACTGTAATTTCAATATAATAACATCAGCATTTGATAGTTTTGAAGACAAAGTTTTTCTCATTCCCAAAAGGAGATCTTTGATTCCTTTTTGTTTGCAGGGCGGCATCATATTGAAGAAAAATACAGAACATTCTGTAAATACATGTGGGAATATGTGGTTCCTTATTCTGCACTATGGGAGAAACCCCCCATTTTCAACATGTTTTTCATCTTGTTCCCTTACATTCATAAACTTCGCCTTAGGTGCCACTTGCCCCCCTCAAGTGTACAAAACACCATGGACCCCTACACAATAGGCAACAATAATGTAAGTCTACAGTACACTCCTGCAGAATTCACCAAATCTTTATCTTTGAGCTTACACTTAACTCTCTCTTCTGGATAAATTTTCTTATTTCATGTACTTTTCAATTATTTATCCCCTCGCACTGTTCCAAATTTATACCTGAAAAATATAGCCTTCATGCCTCCATTAATTTCAACATCCTATTCATTTTAAAACCATGCAAATTTTGTGTCATGTTCACTTTTTACAGGAAATTGACCCCAGTACTGATTCATCAGTCTAGCCTTGGTTTTATTTGTGAACTTCAAGTTTATGCCAAGACATTTCAAGGTTGGCTCCCTAATCAATGAGGTACTGATAATGGTCACACATTGTGTAAATTATCAACCGACAGTGCCCATGGAATCGTACTCCAGGATATTGTCATCCCATAGTTAATCAAGGTTCCAAATTAAGAATTGTGGTAATACCAAGGATTTATTCTTTTTAATCATTTGATCAAGTCTGTCCTTAGTCCTTTTGGTGATTTTAAGCTTCCCATTCATTCTAGTACCTGTACATGAATTGTGATTTGAAACTGGTCTGGAAGGTTTCAACAATGCTTTAACATTTAAATTTATTCACCATTTTTTTTAAAGATTGAACAGTTGTCCATATTTACATGTATATTTTAACAGTAACTGTGTTTAATTAAATCCACACTTTTTTTCTGATACGTTAATATTGATATCTCCATAGTGTTTCCATGTACATGTACAGCTATCCCAAAGCAGTAAGTTTCCATTTGCTCATGAACAACTATCCATTAATACCAATGTCCATCACTATGGCCTTGGTCTGCTTGCTGGCTTTCAAGTTTTTCCATCAACATACAGTAGCCTTTCTGCTTAGCCAGCTTCATGTTTGTTTGATACCAGTATTTCATCAATATACATTGTAACTTTGGTATTCCTAGCTGTTTAGGTTTAATGTCCATACATGTACGCATGCTTCCAAATAAATGTAGCAAGTAAAGATGCAGGAAGTGAGTTGTGTCTGTAAAATTTAATCTCCAAAATGGAAAATTGCTCATACATGTAGCTGTACCGTATGTGGTTTAATTGGCACGACTCTGGTATGCCATTCCCAACTGGATGTTACTTGCTTATTAATTAGCTTTATTCCTCTCATTTTTATTCCGTGTAAATTAATTCAACCTACTGTACAGTACATGTATTAGGAGTACAGAGAATATACCTGGTACATGTATTGGTACTAATTAGCAATATTGCAGTTAATCAACATGTTATTAGGCTCGGATGGTATTACATTGTTTTTTCCTTTGAAGTGAAGTATTCTTTGAAAAGGGATATCGCATCATCAAAAAGCAGCGTTGAGCATGTTGACAGGGCAACATTCACTGAGAATGCCAACAAATATGAGCCAGCATGACGGTGGTTGTGGCAAAATCCCCTAAATTTAAGTATTTCCATGTATCAATCAATTTCTTTTTAACTAAATATCTACAGTATGTGAATTAGGACATAGAATATAAAAGCGAAGATTAAATTTGCTAAATTTTTGAGTCAAGAATGATGCAGTATTCTAACACATGAAACTATAAATTGGAAATGACAGAACAAACTTTGGTTATGACCATGACAAACCACACCCCTGTAAAACATTGTTTGGGACTTCCATTCAGACACCTATGTCAATCAGCAATGCCAAACCACAAACACCAATACAGTGGCGATAATAAAACTATGAAGAGGTTTGGCTGATGGGTTAGCAGCTGCTTAAGTTTCACGTTACTTAAATTGAGCTGGACAATTGGTCTCGTCCCTCTGCTGTATGCGACAATTCAGTCATTGCACTGGATGATTCAACCCGCAAAGAATGGAATAAAATATAACAACATGGTTGTTTTTCTTTATTTCATAAAGGTTCTACAAATATTCCAAACACATTAGCAAGAATAATGCAGTACTGAAATTCCATAGTGAGTTTACCAGTGAGTATTTTGGTATTTATAGAATATCAGTGGTATACTGTTCAGTACCGAAAAGAAAAGAAACCACTATTTGGTTATACTGAAATACCATCCAAGCATACATACCGGTAAACGAATTTTAATCTTTGCAGCTTGACATTTAAGAAATTAAGGCACAGTAAGGGTCACTTATTTTCATACAAGTATTTCTCAGAATTTCTTGCTTCAAGTACTTGTACATGTACATTACTCAATTAATCCTATAAAATGTAATCTGAAAAAAATTTCACTCAACAGAAAATACTGAACAAAAGAAAAGACAAAACACAAATGCTTAACAATCCTGCATGCATGTATATGCACCTGTGTCACAGGATTCCCTGACAAGAACCCCGGAATTTGTATTTCCGATTAGACTCTACATGTACGCAGACAAATGAACAAATGACGCACAAATAATCTGTGAATCTCAGCACTTCATTTAATTTACAATATTATTCAAACCAATTTACAAAAACTGAACAACTGAAACATTAGAAACCATTAAAGAAATCCGGGCCAAATCAACAGTTTCTTGGCTCCACTGGAGAAGTGAGCTGCCTGTATTCAGATTTTAAAGTTCCTGTTTGTGGTCTGCGGAGTGGGATGTTTGGCATCTCTGGCGTTCCCTTCTCGTGAGAGAGCTGGGTGATGATCATGCTGTTCTGGTCGACATTAGTTCAGCCTCATGAGGTCATCTCTTAGTGTGTAGCATCTGCCACACAAGATTTCAAACCCTCATTAAAACCCTGGTATAAATTGAATTTTAAATCATTACCAGCAACGCAGCTTTTGCAGCATAAACTGCACAGAATGTCGCGATTTTTACCATCATTTACAATTTCACACGTACGGCACTGCAGAC